ACTCAAGGAAAGCAAATGGGGTAGTGTATATCATGTCATGCTTGATCCTGCATGCCAGTTCCCTTACCAGCGCAAACTTACAACTTGAGCCTTCACCGTTCGCGCGAGAGTTTAAAGATTATTAGCTGATATCTGAGCCGTAACCAAGATTGTACTTTTATTTCGGCTGACGTTCCTCCGCCTTCTTCAGAGCCTGGAAAATCGAAAGTACTTGCAATCTACTCTCTCAAAGAGGAGATCAACAAAAAACAATGCCAAGATTCAAAGATAGCCGAGCATGGGAATTGAAGATTATCACTTAAGCAGAAAACTACTAAACTAGTGCAATCGTCTTTCGTTTTTCCGCTCAATTTTTCCCATGAAAGATGGCGTTTCACCATTTAGTCTTCCCATGAGATTACTTATTAGTTATAAGAAAGATTAGATTGTTGAATTGTACATATACAAATTTCTGCTATCAAATCAAAATGTAGAACTCCGTCGGTGATCCTCTTGAGCTATAAGGCAGCAGCGAAAAAAATGTCAGTAGAGCTTGCTTTTAGCTTATCGGTTGAAGCAAGCCCTTGTTTCAAGCAACAATTACCTTTCTTTTGATATTTTTGTAGGTATGTTAAATACGCGTGTTACATTATTGTTGGGATTTCTTTCAAAATGCGTCCTTTTCGTTTTTTTTAGGGATGTAAAAACCAAATATGGCATACCTAATATTGATGCAAGTCCCTAGCAATGAACACAGTAAAAACATTTCCGTAAAAGATCTGTTAATAATAATATTCAAGGAAGATTTGGGTTAAGGAACTGCGTTCAAATCTCGAGCAGATTAACTTCTCCATAGCATTAAGTTGATAAAGAGCCAAAGTTGAAGCCAGAAACTCAAACAAACAAACAGGGAGCTCCTCTGGGTACAAATAAACGTCCGCTGTCTTTGCATCATAGGGGAAGATTCAGAAGTTTTTATGGAATCTTTGCATATTACTCAACTCTCTATCTGAAAACGCTCTTATTGAGCGACTACCGTTTGTAAATGGGTGATGAACTGAAAAATGCATGAAATTTCCTAATATCAACTTCTGCACTGGCGAAGCTTGGTAATTGTTCTAACCTTTCCATGGTTTAAACTGTTATTTCATAGAATTTATTCAAGAATGTTAATCAATCTCTGTTGACCAGGAAGCTTTCAAGGAACAGCTACACTCTATACGTGTATAAGTACTGTTTTAAACACTGAAACAAGCACAACTGGTTCTAAATCAAGCTGGCTCGATAATAAGCAAGACCACTCCTAATCGCTAACTGCTTGATATATCACCAATTTTCTATTGTTCATATTAGAACAATAAGTCCCTCTAAACACAATAGCCACAAGTTTTAGGGCATTGCTCTCTCATGACCTGGAGATAAGCGACATTTCGGCAGTGTAAGCTTCTCTGCGGACAATCCGATACACCCGTTCGGGGGTTGACAAGATCTCGGCAGCCTGGAGATAATAATTACACTGATGGTCTTCCTCGAAATGTGCGCTAGCTCACCTGACGGCATTCCTGTGTTAGGTGTACATTTGTTACATGTTAATGGGCACTGTTCTGCCATAAGTTGGCGATAAGCTGGGTTTTCGCACAAATGCCGACGTTGAGGACAATCCGACACACCGGTGTATGGATTTACTTTGTCC